AGGATCCTAAGCCCGCAGTTAGTGCAGAAGACGTTGCGCATGAATTTGATGCAGCCGAAGCTGGGGAGCCCGCTCCCTCAAGACCCGGTGGCTCATTTTTCGATACCGCACCAGCGACAGCCGCTACATCGCAAGGTGAAGATTTTTGGGTGTTCAAAGAAAATGCCAACTGTTTGGTCCGATACCATATCATGCCAAGGCAAAATCTCTTTACACCAAAAGAGGTCGAGGATTGCCCCGTTTCCCCAGAAAGATTTACTGCAGCTCGCACCACTCGTGCCGTGTTTCAGGGGGGCAAAGCAGACAACATCCATGATGGTTGGTTTGGTAGCCGACCCAATCGCTCACTCGGAGACGCATGGACCGGGTTCACAGTGTTCAAGTTAAAACCCATTCAGTCCGATTGTGTTATCACCACAGGTGCAGCCGTGATGTTAGACTCCGTACCGCCGACACCTCTCACCGAAGCGTCAAAGAACGGTCGTCCGAACACATTGCCAATTTTTGGCATGCCATGCAGCGCAGAGGTTGAAGCTCCACAGCGCAAGCAGCTTGAGGTTGGAAACCATCGTGCCCGCAAGAGACAGGCACGCATTGACAAGTTGCCTGTGATGTTCGAATACGCATGTTCACCAGAGTCCAATATGGGTCGCGTGTTTGAAGGTCTTGGCATACCTCATGTTAGGCTAGCTAAAGAGTTTATCGACCTTAGCACAGATGAAGGAGAAATCCAGTTGCAGTCGCAGATTGAAGGTTGTGATAAACCCAATCTCTGGGCCGCAATTCCCTGTACATCAGGTTCAGCATGGCAACGCCTCAATAAGGCCAAGTTAGGAAGCCAGTTCAACAAGAAACTGAAGCAAAAGGTTAAAGAGTCGAGAGAGTTGTTCTCCAGATTCAGACGTCACGCAGAGACTGTCCTCCATCAGGGGGGTAGTGTTTCGTTTGAATGGCCAAGGGATTGCGACAGCTGGGCTAGGGATGATGTTTCTGCATTCTTTAGAGAATACGCACACGTCTTCACCCCAGCGACCTTCCATGGTTGCGCCCTAGGTCTTAAGGACAGCAATGGTTATCCCATCAAGAAGCCATGGAAAGTCATGACCAGCAATAGCACACTCGCGTCCGCACTAGGTGCATTCAAGTGTCCGCACGAAAAAGGGTATAAGCATTCGCTTGCAGCAGGTAACAAGACCGCAAAGACCGCTTTCTACCCCGAAGGCATGTGTCTCACAGTTGCCCGTGCGCTGTATCCGACAGTTCAACCCGCTGTGCCTGCGATGCCTGTCCAAGTGCCATTGCCTCTCGATCACCGGGCTCTCCGGTTTGGAAGATATAGGTGTTGCTGTTGAGTCAGATGAAAAGTGTCACAACATTCTTGAGCAAGTTCTTGATGTTGAAAATCTCATCGCACATTCCCTAGGACAAGTCAAAGAGAAGAAGGATCCTGAGATCACCGCAATGGTGACCAGACTCTTGTCACGTGCCGAAATGTTGGCTTCCCCGGAAGCTCTTGAAGCCGTTCGACTTGAAGCCACAGGCCTGGAGAAAGCCGGTGCTTGGGATCTAAATTCAGTCCGAGAGTATGATCAAGTCGCTGCTGAGGCGCGACGATCCAGTATAAAAGTCCATTTCGGGCAGTTGATGTCGCTAGCATCCGTCAAGTTCGCCGAACTCGCGAAACACCTTCAGAAGATGAAAGGTAGGATTGTGTATCGCGGAGACTGTGCGAAAGATGAACATGGCGCAGCAGCTGTCTACCAAGAGTTGGGAGCAAATCCCACGAGCGTACAAGGTCTTAATAACTGTCTCGCTTATGGATCCCTGCCAGGGAATTCCACCACAACAGCGGACGCTATAAAGGCTTATGTGCAAGCACTGCTGAAGTCCAAGTACCAAACTTGGATCACACTCCCGCCTGAGCTCCGGCCAAGGTGGTGGCGCGAGCGTTTCGTGAAACCTGTGGTTTTGCTCGTTAAAGCTCTTTATGGGCATCCTGACGCTGGCGGACTCTGGGAGGCACACCTCAAAGGGTTCATTAGTGAACTTGGGGGGCGTGAGGTCGCAGAATTTCCTGGAAACTTCTGGTTCAAGGAGTCCGGGTTACTTCTCTCGACATACGTCGACGACTTGACGTTGGCCGGCCCCAGCCATCTTCATAAAGACTTCTGGGAAAAGTTAACAAGACTGGTTGATATAGAACCCCCAGAAGACATATATCGGGTGCTAGGCAGGAGCCACCTTTTGATAGATGCTCCAAAGGACCCAACTGAACCTGATCTTAATGCCGCAATGGGCAGATTGAAAGGGGGCATGGCGTTCGACATGCGGGATTATGCCCGTCAAACGGTGGCATTATATCTTGAGGTTGCACAGCTGAAAAGTGAAAAGTTGCGTGATGCCACCACTCCATTCTGTCCCGCTGGATCCCTAGATCCTGCAGATGACGCCTTGGAGGGTGAGCTCGGCTTCGCCGCTTGCCGCGTGTTGATGAAAGCCTTATGGCTCGGCCGTTTGGCACGCCCAGACCTGGTCAAGCCCATTGGCGACCTTGCCTCATTTGTTCAAAAATGGTCTAGAAACTGCGATAAGCAGCTACATAGGCTTGTTTGCTACATAAACAGCACGGTCAACAGCACGCTAGTAGGCACAGTTCAAGATTCGACTGAGGATTTGCATCTGTCTCTTTATGTAGACGCCGATTTCGCCGGAGAGCGAGATGCAAAATCCACGTCCGGAGGATTCTTGATTTTGAGTGGTCCGCACACGCATTTTCCGCTTGCGTGGGTGTCCAAAAGGCAGACATCGGTCTCTCGATCAACGACCGAGGCGGAGATTGTATCTCTCGCATACTCCCTTTATCAGGAGGCGCTCCCTGCGCTTAGCTTGTGGGAGCTGATCTTGGACCGACCATTCCATCTCAAGATCCACGAGGACAACCAGGCGACTATCCTCGTAGCAAGGAAAGGTTTCTCATCCAAGCTACGCTGTGTCCAGCGAACGCACAAGGTGAACCTCGCGTGCGTCGCAGAACAGCTTGAAAGCGAACACATCTCGATAGAATACGTCCAAACCGACATGCAGTCAGCGGACATCTTCACGAAAGCACGTCCACCCAACAAGTGGGACCATGCCATCCGGTTGCTCGGCATTCGTGTTGACCTTCCAGAGAAGCTTGAAGACGTTCGTGAAAGTAGAGCCGCTAAAGCAGCTGCCTAGTGCGCTGCAGCATGTCCGCAAAATTTCCAAAAGTGTGCAAAGTGCCTGGGTGATGCTTGAATAACTTGTGTCAGTCGTTGTGATGTAAACTTGACTTCAAGTTGGCGTGGTAATGCGCCCAAGACACTCCCTCAGTGCCGTCAATGAGGGGGGAGTCAATTATCACGATGACATTTATGGCCCAGAGGTACATGAGGTAGGTTCTCATGTAGTCAGTTGCATGTTGTACATTCAAGTGGTTGCCAAAGCATGATCCAATCACTGCTTTGGCTCAAGTGCTGAAAACAGCGCGTTGCACCGCGCTAGCCCCAAGGTTAAGGGAGAGGTCGCAGTCACGGAGGGGTTCGTTCCTTTTAAGGTCCCGGGTTCCCCCGTTGTTGACAAAACTGTGTTTCCCTCTCCTTTGAGTGGTTGTACTGAATTTGTTTAACATGTGGGATTTTCAGCTCCAAGCCTTTACTGAGCTTGTGTTGAACTTCAACATACTGCTAATATTTCCAAGTTTTCAGTTTGTCCATCAATGTTCCACAGATTTCCTCTTCTCATCTAACACTGTCGAGTTGCACAACGGAAACGGCGATATGCGTTGGACCATAAACAGAATAATGCACACTTCAAGAATGACTTTTTCCCACTCAAAATTTCTGTGCTTGTTGCGTGGAGTGAAACTTCTGAATAGCTCTGTGGCTTCTGTATCAACTGCTCATCTTTTCGGATGCAAAACACGGAAAGGTCAAAAAGAGCCTCACAGAGTAAACTTGTTTCGAGAAACGCTGTGAGGAAACGCCAAACAAAAGCAACGCCAGCCTTGAGGAACAAAGCAGCCGTTGTCCGACCAGGGCAAAGTGATTTGCGAATTTGCGCGACAGCTTCAGCACTTGTGACGTTCGTTGGATTGAGTGGGAGACTTAGAAACACGTTTCACTGAAGCCTCTTTGCCCTCTTCCATTCACCGGGCAAGAAAACTGAGGTCTTCACTAAACAAGGCTTCAACGTCAAACGAGCTGAAGCCGTCCTGCTGGCTGTATCAGTTTCATCGGCATCACGCTTGACTTTGTTCGCTCCATCTTGATCGCCTCACCAAAAACTGCGATACCACAAATGGACACGCTTTCAACAAAGCCTGGTCCGTTTCCCAGGCCTGCTTAATTACTTTGTTTATCTTCACTCGATTGTTTGTTTCTCAAAGAAACGCGATGGACATGAACACGTACTATGAAAGCACAGAACACATTGCAGACATGAGGGGTCTGCTCAATCTTTGACACTGCCTTTGGAAAACAGCATGCAGAACTAAAAGTATACAATATGGCTGGAGGTCAGCACCTTCTGCAACACATCTACGTCGGTTACAGCTCCAATGATTTTGAAGGCATTAAGGTAGAGCAGAGCGAGGCACCTTTTTACAGATGGTCAAAAGAGCAGGCGCAGAAGTACTTGAAGACTATGACAACGTTGACCAAGGGTGTTGAGGAGGTTCTAAAAATGTCAGAAGTGCCTGACAAGCCCACTGCCGGACAAACATGCCACAGCAGTCAGTTACGTAACATGGGACTAGCATGGCTTGCGCGAGGGCTAATTGTGAAATGGCATGCAGTTGCTCGTGCACAGCATTTGTCCTTTGGCCGTAGCATGATCGCAGCAAATATATTACTGGCATTCAGCAAACGAAAGAACCAGGCTTCAGTCCTAGCTGTCAGAGTAGCTCAACACAACCTGTGAAAGCGCCCCGTTTGTCTTTTAGATTGTTTGAACCGAAATTTGTACCATCCAACTCTGTTCTGAAATCTGTCTGAACCATGTCCCGTCCGAGAAGCCGAGCAATGGTTGCCTTGGCTTTGACTCTCACTGCGACCTCGCATTTCTTCAATCTTCGTTGTTTTGTTCAGCCTAGTGCTCGATACCCGACGCGCCCAGCAGGTTGTAGCCATGTGTGCTACGCTTTTCCTGGAGCAGAGAGCTTAGTTGCAACCATCAACAATGGCTTTACAGCGGTGGAGAATGCGAACAAAGTGCTGCAGTTTGGTGATTTGCTTCAAAAGTGGTCGTCAGTGATGCCCGGAGCAAAGTTGAAGCTCGAGGTCGACAAAAGCAGCGAAGCTGAAGTCTTGAAGCATGTGGAAAAACTATGCAAAGAGATTGCGCATGAAGTAGACAACAACAAGACAATTTCAGTCTTGGGGATGAGTCAGCAGCGGCAAGTCACTCTTGGTACGAGGGTAGTAGATGGTACCCCATTCCAGAAGCTGATGACAAAAGTTCTGGCTGTCAATCGATCAGGGTGCACGGCTGTGCATGCTGAGCCTGGGGTGGGCAAGTCCATCGCATCATTGAGGGCATTGCCAGCTGGCAGAGTGTCCAAGAACTACACAGTGCTGCTTGATGGTGGCTTTCGCGCGGAAATGATGCGATTCTTCAGAGTCACCAGCTTTGACTTGGTTGTTAGCGTTGCCCGCTTGGTTTTTCCAGCCCTCACGCAAGCTGGTGTATGCATGAACATGATTTTTGATAACGGTGTCGAAGAGGATGAAGACTTCCATAAGTCGAGGACTGAATGGATTTCTCTGCTGAAAGCAGCTTACGAATCTGGTCATCACTTGATTGTAGTTACTCAGTCAGAAGCCTTAGCGATGAAGATTGGCAGTCTGAATGGTGAGAGATCGCGAGTATCTGCAGAACAAGAAGCGCCGGTAAAATACAGGTGGGCAAAGGAACAGGCGCGTGAATACCTCGGCTATTTGCTGGAAGCTCGAAACATCCAACCTGAAGCAGTCGATGTGGACAAGCTTCTTTCCAGCTGCTCGATACCAGATGTTTATGGGGGATGGAAGCCAATAGCAATGAGCAACTACTTGGACTTCAACGAAACGCCAGTTGTACTGAGTGCCTTGGCAAAAGCGGGAAGACTTCAACTCTTGCAGTTTTCTTTGTTGTGGATGTGATTGTCATGTTTTTGTCCCACCTGTCTTGAACATTTTTTCGAGTCTACGTATTGGTTCTTGCTCTTCATGCTGGATGGGCAGAGAGCATTACAATATTTGAGTTGTCAAAGTTAAAATCCTTTGCAAAAAATCTTATCAATTTCATTCCATTTCTAAGACGATAGTTCCCAAATTTTGAAGACCACAATCTTGTGTGTTGGTAACTGATCAACAAACAACAAACCACTACTTTTCTCAAATAGCACGGGTGTATGTCGATGCACACATTCAAGGAACATTCCAGATGACTACCGTGCTTCATTTGTTGTAGATTTGTAGATTTCTTTAGTTTAGTTTTCTCTGGAGTTCTGAAGTAAGACCTCACAAGTGCCATTGCCGAGCTTTTCTGATTTCTTAGCATCCCTGTAGACTCAGGGCAAAAAACAAGGTTTGGATAGGATTCTATTCTTGAAAGATTTGAAAGGAAAGCAAGAGAGGTTGTGTTGTGTGGAATCATATCGACGGTCTCTTCACCAGTTTCACAGGCGCACTTCTCACGTTGCTTGCTCAGATTGCCGCCTGCAAGGCAGTGCCGCCCCGCAACCACCCCCAGCAGTGTGGGTCTGTCAGCTGGGAAGCCCTGCCTGGACCTTACCAGCAGCTGTGTGCAGTCTTGCCTGCCCTGCATTCATGTTCGAGAGAAAGCTGTCAAAGGGTCGACTTCCTTCTCAGAAGAACTCTCGAAATGTCGCCCACCTCCAAAATCAAAGGCGTTTGTAGCCATTGGTCCATTGGTTAAACGGATGGGAACTGCGTTGCAGGGCTTGTGCCTTGCGAGGACGGCAAGGAGTTCATTGGCAACGCAAGTCCATGTTGAAGTGCATTCTCAAAGACAAGCGGTTGATTCTGTTCGGATCTTGTTTGACAAGTTGCCGAACCCACACATGAAGTGGTCAGTAATGCCAGTCCTACAAGGTTTGACACTGCGCATGTGACTTCCCAAAGTCGAGAGATTGACAGCGGGCAAGTTGGTGGTGCAAGACAACGCCTTGTCATGCGTTGTTCTTGTTAAAGTTACTTGTCGCGGAGATAGATTGCAGGGTTGTTTATTGCTCAGGATGTGTTGAAAGATATCTTCCAAGACGAAATACTTTGTATGTTTTGCTGCCATGCCCTTTCTTATTCAATGTCCATTCCCTTTTGTGACGCGCAGGAAAGAAGCATTTCCACCAAAATCCACTGCGTTAGTGAAAATCGCGGAGCCACTGGTTAAGCGGATGGATGTGAACTGAATTGCAGTGCTTGTGCATTGCGAGGATGGCAAGGACTTTGAGATCGTCGGCAACGCATTCAAAATCACTGCTAGTGTTTCAGATGCCCACGCCTCAGCTGCGCCACTTTGCGAAGGATCTACTTCAGCTTGTTTTGCCATCGGAAATGCAGCTGCTCGCTTCGCGAGAATGTCAGGTGGATGACTTGAAGAAGGCCCTGCGCCTAGAGCTTGCCTCGCTAGTCTTGAGCTTTCTGCGCCACCTTGACCTCACTGACATCACTGTAGGCAATCGACCCTTCCTTCTCTCCGTTCCAATCATCCAAGATTGACATTTACAGCCAGAAGGAGAGCTTTGCGTGTCAACAACACAAACCCATTTGTTCCATTCTCACGTGTCTCAGCTGGACTTTGCAGGACGGCCGCTGGGTCAAGGAAGCCAAGATGTCAGCAAGTCTGCGCGACACAGATGAGCCGAGCACTCGGATCGATGCCTTTCAACTTTGGGTTGGTGCCGTCGCCCAGCTGTCAGGGCAGACTGCTACGGATTCATGTTACCAGCTGGAGCTGTTGGAGCCGCATAGTTTGAGGCACCTCAGCAGCGCAGCAGTGCTCTACACTTGTGAACTTGCATCGTTGCCAGGCTACTGCTAGCTGTGGTCACTTGCTATTCTCGGCTGAGGCAATGCTGGGGCACAACGTTTCACCTCGTGCAGTGACAAAGGGTGCAGTCGCAGGCACAGTTGTTTCGTTGCAGTGCATTTTTGCTTGACTCTTGAAGCGTAAGGGAGGTCAATGTTCACACTTTTGAACATCAGGCTGCGGTGTTCAAGACGCGCTGGTCAACAGCTGTTTCACCGAGGCATTCCTCCTTGTGCCTAAGTGCGCAGATGCAGTACCGAACCATTTGAAGAAGTGCGGAGGAAATGATTCGCAACTTGTGCACATTGTTTCATGCTATTTGTTGAGCGTGGCGCTCAGAGAAGCTTGTTGAAGAGCAGACCCACACTGCTGCGAGGCGGCTTGCAGGTGCATTCTTGGCAAGCAACGTGATAAGTGCGCCTGTCCACTGGCCCTGAAACTGGTAAGCTTTATAGATCGTCCATCCGACGGGAAAGCAACAAGCACATCCCAAGGCCAAAGAACAAGAGCTTTTGCTCAAGGGCGCGTCAGCTTTCATCAAAAGCGTTGCTCCAAGCTGGGCTCAGACGCTTCCACGTGAAGCTTGATTCACTCAAAGCAACATTTGCAGCGACTACGAAACTGACGAAAACGGACAGAAGCTGACAGATCACGACCGCAAACTGACAAAAAAGACGGAAGCTGACGGATCACGACCTAAACTGATGGATCACGACCGAAACTGACGGATCACGACCGAAACTGACGGATCACGACCGCAAACAGAGGGATCGCGACCGAAACTGACGGATCGCGACCGCAAACTGACGGATCGCGACCGTAAACTGACGGATCCCGACCGAAACTGACGGATCACGACCGGAACGAGAGCGTTAAACGCGAAAAAACAAGCTAATGTACCGCGACATGCCGAGTTGTGCAACGTGCGACCCGTTTCGAGACGGTCCTGCAGAAAACGCGCAGAAATTCAGCGAGATTAACAACGCGAAGCGGGAAAACGACAACTCGCACAGAAACTGACGACCGGGTGGGGCTTCAGACCCCCCAGCCCACTCGTAAATTTCACTTGGGTACCTCACCTGGCTGCAACAGCCAGGGTTGTACTGAATTTGTTTAACATGTGGGATTTTCAGCTCCAAGCCTTTACTGAGCTTGTGTTGAACTTCAACATACTGCTAATATTTCCAATTTTTCAGTTTGTCCATCAATGTTCCACAGATTTCCTCTTCTCATCTAACACTGTCGAGTTGCACAACGAAAACGGCGATTTGCGTTGGACCATAAACAGAATAATGCACACTTCAAGAATGACTTTTTCCCACTCAAAATTTCTGTGCGTGTTGCGTGGAGTGAAACTTCTGAATAGCTCTGTGGCTTCTGTATCAACTGCTCATCTTTTCGGATGCAAAACACGGAAAGGTCAAAAAGAGCCTCACAGAGTAAACTTGTTTCGAGAAACGCTGTGAGGAAACGCCAAACAAAAGCAACGCCAGCCTTGAGGAACAAAGCAGCCGTTGTCCGACCAGGGCAAAGTGATTTGCGAATTTGCGCGACAGCTTCAGCACTTGTGACGTTCGTTGGATTGAGTGGGAGACTTAGAAACACGTTTCACTGAAGCCTCTTTGCCCTCTTCCATTCACCGGGCAAGAAAACTGAGGTCTTCACTAAACAAGGCTTCAACGTCAAACGAGCTGAAGCCGTCCTGCTGGCTGTATCAGTTTCATCGGCATCACGCTTGACTTTGTTCGCTCCATCTTGATCGCCTCACCAAAAACTGCGATACCACAAATGGACACGCTTTCAACAAAGCCTGGTCCGTTTCCCAGGCCTGCTTAATTACTTTGTTTATCTTCACTCAATTGTTTGTTTCTCAAAGAAACGCGATGGACATGAACACGTACTATGAAAGCACAGAACACATTGCAGACATGAGGGGTCTGCTCAATCTTTGACACTGCCTTTGGAAAACAGCATGCAGAACTAAAAGTATACAATTTGGCTGGAGGTCAGCACCTTCTGCAACACATCTACGTCGGGTACAGCTCCAATGATTTTGAAGGCATTAAGGTAGAGCAGAGCGAGCCACACTTTTTACAGATGGTCAAAAGAGCAGGCGCAGAAGTACTTGAAGACTATGACAACGTTGACCAAGGGTGTTGAGGAGGTTCTAAAAATGTCAGAAGTGCCTGACAAGCCCACTGCCGGACAAACATGCCACAGCAGTCAGTTACGTAACATGGGACTAGCATGGCTTGCGCGAGGGCTAATTGTGAAATGGCATGCAGTTGCTCGTGCACAGCATTTGTCCTTTGGCCGTAGCATGATCGCAGCAAATATATTACTGGCATTCAGCAAACGAAAGAACCAGGCTTCAGTCCTAGCTGTCAGAGTAGCTCAACACAACCTGTGAAAGCGCCCCGTTTGTCTTTTAGATTGTTTGAACCGAAATTTGTACCATCCAACTCTGTTCTGAAATCTGTCTGAACCATGTCCCGTCCGAGAAGCCGAGCAATGGTTGCCTTGGCTTTGACTCTCACTGCGACCTCGCATTTCTTCAATCTTCGTTGTTTTGTTCAGCCTAGTGCTCGATACCCGACGCGCCCAGCAGGTTGTAGCCATGTGTGCTACGCTTTTCCTGGAGCAGAGAGCTTAGTTGCAACCATCAACAATGGCTTTACAGCGGTGGAGAATGCGAACAAAGTGCTGCAGTTTGGTGATTTGCTTCAAAAGTGGTCGTCAGTGATGCCCGGAGCAAAGTTGAAGCTCGAGGTCGACAAAAGCAGCGAAGCTGAAGTCTTGAAGCATGTGGAAAAACTATGCAAAGAGATTGCGCATGAAGTAGACAACAACAAGACAATTTCAGTCTTGGGGATGAGTCAGCAGCGGCAAGTCACTCTTGGTACGAGGGTAGTAGATGGTACCCCATTCCAGAAGCTGATGACAAAAGTTCTGGCTGTCAATCGATCAGGGTGCACGGCTGTGCATGCTGAGCCTGGGGTGGGCAAGTCCATCGCATCATTGAGGGCATTGCCAGCTGGCAGAGTGTCCAAGAACTACACAGTGCTGCTTGATGGTGGCTTTCGCGCGGAAATGATGCGATTCTTCAGAGTCACCAGCTTTGACTTGGTTGTTAGCGTTGCCCGCTTGGTTTTTCCAGCCCTCACGCAAGCTGGTGTATGCATGAACATGATTTTTGATAACGGTGTCGAAGAGGATGAAGACTTCCATAAGTCGAGGACTGAATGGATTTCTCTGCTGAAAGCAGCTTACGAATCTGGTCATCACTTGATTGTAGTTACTCAGTCAGAAGCCTTAGCGATGAAGATTGGCAGTCTGAATGGTGAGAGATCGCGAGTATCTGCAGAACAAGAAGCGCCGGTAAAATACAGGTGGGCAAAGGAACAGGCGCGTGAATACCTCGGCTATTTGCTGGAAGCTCGAAACATCCAACCTGAAGCAGTCGATGTGGACAAGCTTCTTTCCAGCTGCTCGATACCAGATGTTTATGGGGGATGGAAGCCAATAGCAATCAGCAACTACTTGGACTTCAACGAAACGCCAGTTGTACTGAGTGCCTTGGCAAAAGCGGGAAGACTTCAACTCTTGCAGTTTTCTTTGTTGTGGATGTGATTGTCAGTCCCACCTGTCTTCTGTGAACATTTTTTTCGAATCTACGTATTGGTTCTTGCTCTTCATGCTGGATGGGCAGAGATCATTACAATATTTGAGTTGTCAAAGTTAAAATCCTTTGCAAAAAATCTTATCAATTTCATTCCATTTCTAAGACGATAGTTCCCAAATTTTGAAGACCACAATCTTGTGTGTTGGTAACTGATCAACAAACAACAAACCACTACTTTTCTCAAATAGCACGGGTGTATGTCGATGCACACATTCAAGGAACATTCCAGATGACTACCGTGCTTCATTTGTTGTAGATTTGTAGATTTCTTTAGTTTAGTTTTCTCTGGAGTTCTGAAGTAAGACCTCACAAGTGCCATTGCCGAGCTTTTCTGATTTGTTAGCATCCCTGTAGACTCAGGGCAAAAAACAAGGTTTGGATAGGATTCTATTCTTGAAAGATTTGAAAGGAAAGCAAGAGAGGTTGTGTTGTGTGGAATCATATCGACGGTCTCTTCACCAGTTTCACAGGCGCACTTCTCACGTTGCTTGCTCAGATTGCCGCCTGCAAGGCAGTGCCGCCCCGCAACCACCCCCAGCAGTGTGGGTCTGTCAGCTGGGAAGCCCTGCCTGGACCTTACCAGCAGCTGTGTGCAGTCTTGCCTGCCCTGCATTCATGTTCGAGAGAAAGCTGTCAAAGGGTCGACTTCCTTCTCAGAAGAACTCTCGAAATGTCGCCCACCTCCAAAATCAAAGGCGTTTGTAGCCATTGGTCCATTGGTTAAACGGATGGGAACTGCGTTGCAGGGCTTGTGCCTTGCGAGGACGGCAAGGAGTTCATTGGCAACGCAAGTCCATGTTGAAGTGCATTCTCAAAGACAAGCGGTTGATTCTGTTCGGATCTTGTTTGACAAGTTGCCGAACCCACACATGAAGTGGTCAGTAATGCCAGTCCTACAAGGTTTGACACTGCGCATGTGACTTCCCAAAGTCGAGAGATTGACAGCGGGCAAGTTGGTGGTGCAAGACAACGCCTTGTCATGCGTTGTTCTTGTTATCGTTACTTGTCGCGGAGATAGATTGCAGGGTTGTTTATTGCTCAGGATTTGTTGAAAGATATCTTCCAAGACGAAATACTTTGTATGTTTTGCTGCCATGCCCTTTCTTATTCAATGTCCATTCCCTTTTGTGACGCGCAGGAAAGAAGCATTTCCACCAAAATCCACTGCGTTTGTGAAAATCGCGGAGCCACTGGTTAAGCGGATGGAATTGCAGTGCTTGTGCATTGCGAGGATGGCAAGGACTTTGAGATCGTCGGCAACGCATTCAAAATCACTGCGAGTGTTTCAGATGCCCACGCCTCAGCTGCGCCACTTTGCGAAGGATCTACTTCAGCTTGTTTTGCCATCGGAAATGCAGCTGCTCGCTTCGCGAGAATGTCAGGTGGATGACTTGAAGAAGGCCCTGCGCCTAGAGCTTGCCTCGCTAGTCTTGAGCTTTCTGCGCCACCTTGACCTCACTGACATCACTGTAGGCAATCGACCCTTCCTTCTCTCCGTTCCAATCATCCAAGATTGACATTTACAGCCAGAAGGAGAGCTTTGCGTGTCAACAACACAAACCCATTTGTTCCATTCTCACGTGTCTCAGCTTGACTCTGCAGGAAGAGGGCTGGGTCAGAGAAGATGAAGAAGCAGCAGTCAACCGCGGCAAATCCAAGCCGAGCACTCGGATTCGATGCCTTTCAGCTTTGGGTTGTGCCGTCGCCCAGCTGTCAGGGCAGACTGCTACGGATTCATGTTACCAGCTGGAGCTGCTGGAGCCGCATAGTTTGAGGCACCTCAGCAGCGCAGCAGTGCTCTACACTTGTGAACTTGCATCGTTGCCAGGCTACTGCTAGCTGTGGTCACTTGCTATTCTCGGCTGAGGCAATGCTGGGGCACAACGTTTCACCTCGTGCAGTGACAAAGGGTGCAGTCGCAGGCACAGTTGTTTCGTTGCAGTGCATTTTTGCTTGACTCTGGAAGCGTAAGGGAGGTCAATGTTCACACTTTTGAACATCAGGCTGCGGTGTTCAAGATGAGCAGAAAATGTGCGTGCAACGGGTACAGGACCAGCGACGCGCTGGTCAACAGCTGTTTCACCGAGGCATTCCTCCTTGTGCCTAAGTGCGCAGATGCAGTACCGAACCATTTGAAGAAGTGCGGAGGAAATGATTGGCAACTTGTGCACATTGTTTCATGCTATTTGTTGAGCGTGGCGCTCAGAGAAGCTTGTTGAAGAGCAGACCCACACTGCTGCGAGGCGGCATTGCAGGTGGCATTCTTGGCAAGCAACGTGATAAGTGCACCTGTCCACTGGCCCTGAAACTGGTAAGCTTTATAGATCGTCCATCCGACTGGAAAGCAACAAGCACATCCCAAGGCCAGAGAACAAGAGCTTTTGCTCAAGGGCGCGTCAGCTTTCATCAAAAGCGTTGCTCCAGGCTGGGCTCAAACGCTTCCACGTGAAGCTTGATAATTACACTCAAAGCAACATCTGCAGCGACATGATACGAAACTGACGAAAACGGACAGAAGCTGACCGCAAACTGACGAAAGCGGACCGAAGCTGACGGATCACGACCGTAAACTGACGGATCACGACCGTAAACTGACGACCGTAGACTGACGGATCGCGACCGAAACCGACGGATCACGACCGCAAACTGACGGATCACGACCGTAAACTGACGGATCCCGACCGAAACTGACGGATCGCGACCGTAAACTGACGGATCACGACAAACTGACGGATCCCGACCGAAACTGACGGATCACGACCGGAACGAGAGCGTTAAACGCGAAAAAAGCAACCTAATGTACCGCGTCATGCCGAGTTGTGCAACGCGCGACCCGTTTCGAGACGGTCCTGCAGAAAACGCGCAGAAATTCAGCGAGATTAACAACGCGAAGCGGGAAAACGACAACCCGCGCAGAAACTGACGACCGGGTGGGGCTTCAGACCGGAACAAATGGGGATGCGCTTTGACATTTGATGCTGGTTATTGGCAGCGAATGCAATCCATGTATCTTCAAATAAACCGAACACAGAAATTCAAATGTGACCAGACTGCAAGACACACGGCGTAAATTTCACTTGGGTACCTCACCTGGCTGCAACAGCCAGGGTTGTACTGAATTTGTTTAACATGTGGGATTTTCAGCTCCAAGCCTTTACTGAGCTTGTGTTGAACTTCAACATACTGCTAATATTTCCAATTTTTCAGTTTGTCCATCAATGTTCCACAGATTTCGTCTTCTCATCTAACACTGTCGAGTTGCACAACGAAAACGGCGATTTGCGTTGGACCATAAACAGAATAATGCACACTTCAAGAATGACTTTTTCCCACTCAAAATTTCTGTGCTTGTTGCGTGGAGTGAAACTTCTGAATAGCTCTGTGGCTTCTGTATCAACTGCTCATCTTTTCGGATGCAAAAAACGGAAAGGTCAAAAAGAGCCTCACAGAGTAAACTTGTTTCGAGAAACGCTGTGAGGAAACGCCAAACAAAAGCAACGCCAGCCTTGAGGAACAAAGCAGCCGTTGTCCGACCAGGGCAAAGTGATTTGCGAATTCGCGCGACAGCTTCAGCACTTGTGACGTTCGTTGGATTGAGTGGGAGACTTAGAAACACATTTCACTGAAGCCTCTTTGCCCTCTTCCATTCACCGGGCAAGAAAACTGAGGTCTTCACTAAACAAGGCTTCAACGTCAAACGAGCTGAAGCCGTCCTGCTGGCTGTATCAGTTTCATCGGCATCACGCTTGACTTTGTTCGCTCCATCTTGATCGCCTCACCAAAAACTGCGATACCACAAATGGACACGCTTTCAACAAAGCCTGGTCCGTTTCCCAGGCCTGCTTAATTACTTTGTTTATCTTCACTTAATTGTTTGTTTCTCAAACAAACGCAGAACACATTGCAGACATGAGGGGTCTGCTCAATCTTTGACACTGCCTTTGGAAAACAGCATGCAGAACTAAAAGTATACAATTTGGCTGGAGGTCAGCACCTTCTGCAACACATCTACGTCGGGTACAGCTCCAATGATTTTGAAGGCATTAAGGTAGAGCAGAGCGAGCCACACTTTTTACAGATGGTCAAAAGAGCAGGCGCAGAAGTACTTGAAGACTATGACAACGTTGACCAAGGGTGTTGAGGAGGTTCTAAAAATGTCAGAAGTGCCTGACAAGCCCACTGCCGGACAAACATGCCACAGCAGTCAGTTGCGTAACATGGGACTAGCATGGCTTGCACGAGGGCTAATTGTGAAATGGCATGCAGTTGCTCGTGCGCAGCATTTGTCCTTTGGCCGTAGCATGATCGCAGCAAATATATTACTGGCATTCAGCAAACGAAAGAACCAGGCTTCAGTCCTAGCTGTCAGAGTAGCTTAACACAACCTGTGAAAGCGCCCCGTTTGTCTTTTAGATTGTTTGAACCGAAATTTGTACCATCCAACTCTGTTCTGAAATCTGTCTGAACCATGTCCCGTCCGAGAAGCCGAGCAATGGTTGCCTTGGCTTTGACTCTCACTGCGACCTCGCATTTCTTCAATCTTCGTTGTTTTGTTCAGCCTAGTGCTCGATACCCGACGCGCCCAGCAGGTTGTAGCCATGTGTGCTACGCTTTTCCTGGAGCAGAGAGCTTAGTTGCAACCATCAACAATGGCTTTACAGCGGTGGAGAATGCGAACAAAGTGCTGCAGTTTGGTGATTTGCTTCAAAAGTGGTCGTCAGTGATGCCCGGAGCAAAGTTGAAGCTCGAGGTCGACAAAAGCAGCGAAGCTGAAGTCTTGAAGCATGTGGAAAAACTATGCAAAGAGATTGCGCATGAAGTAGACAACAACAAGACAATTTCAGTCTTGGGGATGAGTCAGCAGCGGCAAGTCACTCTTGGTACGAGGGTAGTAGATGGTACCCCATTCCAGAAGCTGATGACAAAAGTTCTGGCTGTCAATCGATCAGGGTGCACGGCTGTGCATGCTGAGCCTGGGGTGGGCAAGTCCATCGCATCATTGAGGGCATTGCCAGCTGGCAGAGTGTCCAAGAACTACACAGTGCTGCTTGATGGTGGCTTTCGCGCGGAAATGATGCGATTCTTCAGAGTCACCAGCTTTGACTTGGTTGTTAGCGTTGCCCGCTTGGTTTTTCCAGCCCTCACGCAAGCTGGTGTATGCATGAACATGATTTTTGATAACGGTGTCGAAGAGGATGAAGACTTCCATAAGTCGAGGACTGAATGGATTTCTCTGCTGAAAGCAGCTTACGAATCTGGTCATCACTTGATTGTAGTTACTCAGTCAGAAGCCTTAGCGATGAAGATTGGCAGTCTGAATGGTGAGAGATCGCGAGTATCTGCAGAACAAGAAGCGCCGGTAAAATACAGGTGGGCAAAGGAACAGGCGCGTGAATACCTCGGCTATTTGCTGGAAGCTCGAAACATCCAACCTGAAGCAGTCGATGTGGACAAGCTTCTTTCCAGCTGCTCGATACCAGATGTTTATGGGGGATGGAAGCCAATAGCAATGAGCAACTACTTGGACTTCAACGAAACGCCAGTGGTACTGAGTGCCTTGGCAAAAGCGGGAAGACTTCAACTCTTGCAGTTTTCTTTGTTGTTGATGTGATTGTCATGTTTTTGTCCCACCTGTCTTCTGTGAACATTTTTGCGAATCTACGTATTGGTTCTTGCTCTTCATGCTGGATGGGCAGAGAGCTTTACAATATTTGAGTTGTCAAAGTTAAAATCCTTTGCAAAAAAACTTATCCATTTCATTCCATTTCTAAGACGATAGTTCCCAAATTTTGAAGACCACAATCTTGTGTGTTGGTAACTGATCAACAAACAACAAACCACTACTTTTCTCAAATAGCACGGGTGTATGTCGATGCACACATTCAAGGAACATTCCAGATGACTACCGTGCTTCATTTGTTGTAGATTTGTAGATTTCTTTAGTTTAGTTTTCTCTGGAGTTCTGAAGTAAGACCTCACAAGTGCCATTGCCGAGCTTTTCTGATTTGTTAGCATCCCTGTAGACTCAGGGCAAAAAACAAGGTTTGGATAGGATTCTATTCTTGAAAGATTTGAAAGGACAGCAAGAGAGGTTGTGTTGTGTGGAATCATATCGACGGTCTCTTCACCAGTTTCACAGGCGCACTTCTCACTTTGCTTGCTCAGATTGCCGCCTGCAAGGCAGTGCCGCCCCGCAACCACCCCCAGCAGTGTGGGTCTGTCAGCTGGGAAGCCCTGCCTGGACCTTACCAGCAGCTGTGTGCAGTCTTGCCTGCCCTGCATTCATGTTCGAGAGCAAGCTGTCAAAGGGTCGACTTCCTTCTCAGAAGAACTCTCGAAATGTCGCCCACCTCCAAAATCAAAGGCGTTTGTAGCCATTGGTCCATTGGTTAAACGGATGGGAACTGCGTTGCAGGGCTTGTGCCTTGCGAGGAGGGCAAGGAGTTCATTGGCAACGCAAGTCCATGTTGAAGTGCATTCTCAAAGACAAGCGGTTGATTCTGTTCGGATCTTGTTTGACAAGTTGCCGAACCCACACATGAAGTGGTCAGTAATGCCAGTCCTACAAGGTTTGACACTGCGCATGTGACTTCCCAAAGTCGAGAGATTGACAGCGGGGCAAGTTGGTGGTGCGAGACAACGCCTTGTCATGCGTTGTTCTTGTTAACGTTACTTGTCGCGGAGATAGATTGCAGGGTTGTTTATTGCTCAGGATTTGTTGAAAGATATCTTCCAAGACGAAATACTTTGTATGTTTGCTGCCATGCCCTTTCTTATTCAATGTCCATTCCCTTTTGTGACGCACAGGAAAGAAGCATTTCCAAAGCCCCCACCTCCAAAATCCACTGCGTTTGTGAAAATCGCGGAGCCACTGGTTAAGCGGATGGATGTGAACTGAATTGCAGTGCTTGTGCGTTGCGAGGATGGCAAGGACTTTGAGATCGTCGGCAACGCATTCAAAATCACT